GTGGACCTACTGGTTATACTGTGCGGCTATCTTAAGGTGGTTTTATCGCTGAACGCCAACTCGATAGTGTGACGTTGTCACATAAACGTCACACAATCGCATATGTACAGTCTATGCGAAATGTTTTTATTGAATTATAATTAGTTATATGGAGGGACTAACTTTTGACTGGGACTTGCACGATAAAACCACCTTAAGCAATCACTTTTTTATGTTAATATATATAGTCACTTCCGCTTGCTCAAAATCATACATTCCCTCCTGGTTCTTTTTATTCAATGTATGTATTCATGTCGCCATTGAGGGGGAAGATTGAGGAATTGTGAAATGTAAAATGGCCGTCATGTCATAAGTTAGCTGTTATCTCCTTGACATACGCATCAATGCGCATACTTCATCGCGCATATGTTCGTAAGTAAATATATTAGCAGTAATAAGGGGGGGGGAGGGCGATGCTCCACTATCGTCAAAGCAATCAATAGAAGCCGCATTCCATTATTATACTCCTTCTCTTGTATATAAATTTTTTTACATAAGCTGAAAATTATGCATTAGCAACACTCTATAAATTCGTTGCAGTGAGATTTCACTGTACCGAATAATCAAAATGCGACCACCCTCTTTGCAGTGAGATTTGATCACTTTAACTTAAAGTGAACTTGAGTCACTGCAGTTAACAGTTACATTTTAACTGCTAGAAAGTGACTTTTTTACTCTAATGAATTTTAGATAGAATAGGCTCCAAGAAATAATCAAATATAGTAAAGTAATTGCTTATGAAGAGGGGAATCTTAGATGCATATTAGTATCAAAAGATATTAAATTGTTCGTTAATTTAATTTGTTACAAGTTTCCGTCTAAATTCATGCAAAGAACTGTGTTTTAAGACTGACAACCGTGCGGCGCGCAGATCGTGTGTGGTTGGATATTGTAATGATAAGAATTTCACACACCAACCCGTGTCGGCTCTTCATAGGCAATTACTTCACTATATCTTTTACTCTAGTAAAATTACTTTTCACTGTTAATATAATAAATTATTTTCTATCAAAAAATTTTCACTGCTAAGAAAGTGATTTTTCACTTACCTCTACAGTTAATTAATCACTTTTCTTGCAGTGAATCATGCCACTGCAATCATGTCACTGTAACCATACAGTGACATTTTGCACTGTTTCTAATAAAGTGAAAATTTCACTTTAACAAAAGTTAAAACTCATTTTTACATACAGTGAAAATCACTGCATAGCAATGAAAACTCTAAAATTGACCTTTCACTGTATGATAAAGTGACAATTTTCACTGCAACGAATTTAGAGTGAAAATATGATTTAACAGTCTAGTTTCATTTCTAAAAATGGCGTGTTAAGTCGCTACTCGAATCTATCGAAGTTATTGTTGTCGCTTTTCCGCGATGCTGATTCTCTCGTTGCGCTTATTTCCCCAGTAAACAAAAATGAATTGAAATGAATAGAAATAAATTTATTTCGACATTTCTGAATTGGCGCTTTTGACTTTCCATTTAATTCCAAAAATAATGTGATAGGGACATGAATTATTCGAATTCAACATAGTGAGTAGCTCTTTCGTATTTCAATTTATTTGAATCGAAAAATAATATAATACAGACATGAATACATCCGAATTCAATATGATAAATAGTTCATTTCGTATTTCAATATTTTTAAATCCAAAAATAATGTAATAGGGACATGACTGCATCTCCGGACTGTAAAGCGTCAACTCAGATAAATTAAAATGAATTGCAATTTTCAATTAATTTGAATTAATTTTCATTTGCTGGATCGTGAGCTGTTGTCGTTGCATATTTTAATATTTGTGAGTATTGAGGTTCATAGTGTGATAACAAATACAGTAAAAAATATTAAATAATACGCGCGATGCGTGCGTCTGTAATGCTAGTGATGTTAAATAAGTGTGTGATCGTCAATAACAATAATTGTTATAATATTTAGTAGGACCATTCCAGGTTTATATACTCTGTTTATATTCAAGAATAATATATGTCATCAATAATTTGTAATAGTTTACTTCTTCTGATGCCGATAATAAAACTTCATTATGTGGCAAAAAAAAGAAAGATATACACTTAATAAATTTGTAATAATGCAAAAAATACAAGATAAATCGATCAAGAAACAAGTAGAAGTAAAAAGTGACATAGAATCACAAAAGAAAATTATGTTAATAAATAAATAGTTTAATGTCAAATAAATAACAAAACGTTTTAACTACACGACTTCTTTTAGTTGAATCTTCTTCAGTTGAAATTAAAGGATGTCACATAAAGATAAAAAATGTTTTAAATAAATAAGTAAAATAACTAAACATAAAACATAATACTGATAGAACAAAATTAATTAGAACGCGAAGAAAATATATCAAGCCTAAAACAATGGACACTACAAATATTTGCCGATTCGACTACTTCTGCAGTACGAGAATTAAATCACATACCTACATACTTTCGGCGTACGCTGGTTTTGTAATGTCAAATATTTTTCTATGTAACCGAATATTGGAAATGATTGTCGTTCGTAATTCGCATATATCAATTTCGAGTACTGGTGGACGTTATAATTGCTCGCGGTCCCAGACTGACTCAATTAGGATCCTCAATGATAATTCGACGGTGCGGCTGTAAGATAATTATAATCCTTTCTTCGTAACTTAAGAAACGAGTGGCACATGTCAATCTGTCATATTATGTAAAAATTTATTAACTTATTTATTTAAAAACATTTTTATCTTTATGTAACATCCTTTAATTTAAACTGAAGGAGACTCCGTGTAGTCGAAACGTTTTGTTATTTATTTGACATTAAATTATTTACTTATTAAATTATTTATTACATTATTTTCTTTTGTGATTTTATGTCACTTTTTAGCTTTGCTTGCTCCTTGGTTAATTTAGTTTTTGTTATTTTAAACACAAGCTTAACATTACAATTCAAATTTGTAATAATGCATTAAATTACAAAAATGAATTGTAACGATGGACCGTAACATCGAAATTTGCATTATACGTCGTCGGCGGACGGCAAAATATTAATTAAAGCACCAAGTAAATCAAATTCTCTTCAATAATAGAGATAATTTTTTACAAATAATCCTAACAGTTTGCTTACTTTTTTCTATTTTTCATTTTCTTGTGCAAAACCTCGTGTTTGAAACCTTGTGCATCACTTTTACAGTAATTATGAATAATTTTCTGATACTATTGACTTTATCGTCGGTGACGTTGCATCATACCACTTCTAATAACGTTTACTTAACATATACTATTGCAATATATAATTGCGGTTATCTCATGATATTGCAATAATATAATTGTGGTTAGTTCATGCTATTGCAATAATACAAGGGCAAGTCAATAAGTTTTTAGAAAAACATAGTAAAACACTTTTTTTTGATCGATTCATTTTTATTTCTCAACATAGTCTCCTTTCAGCTCGATACACTTGATCCAACGATTCTCCAACTTTTTGAGCCGTCCGAATAATATGATTTGTCCAACCCTTCAAAATAAGCCTCTGTTTCGGCGATGAGCTATTCTAGCTGGTGGTGAATCTCTTTCCTCCGAACCATTTCTTCAGGTTTGGAAACAGGAAATAGTCGCAGGGAGCTAAATCTGACGAATACCCGAGTAAACATTTTCATATACAATTATATATGACCATATATGAATCATTATATATGATCATATACGAAATTTGTCTCTATAATATGACCATATATGAATATATCTGATTTTATATTAGGTATGTTATAATCTGCATGCATAACGTACTGTATAGAGGGTGTCCCAAAAAAGTCATATGTCCTTTCACTGGCAGATTCTGAGGAGCATTCTAAGACGAAAACTCTTATACAAAAATGTCGAGGCTATAATACTGTTACGTCCGGGGCGGTAAAACTTGCGTTCGCGCACTCGAACGTGTGTTACCCGCGTTTCCGCACTCGCGCACGCGCACGCGTACCGGATCGCCGCGGAGAAATAAATGGAACACCAACTTAAGAACTGACAAACTCTTTAATGTAAGAGAACGAAATACAGAAAGGGATCAGAGCACGTCCGAACGGATCGACGGCTCGTCTCCAAATCTCATGGCGTCCGTTTGACAACCAAAAATCTCGTTATCTAGGAAACAAGTAAATCTTGCCGCTCAGTTCGACCAGTTCGCTCAATTTGCAACGGCGCGGGCGTAACAATATGTACATATCCCAGCAAACAATAATATAACAGATGTGTTATATTATAGTTATATTGTTGAGTGGGAAATTACAACTAACAAATACGTTACATGTAACTTGGTGTTTGCTGGGATCACTAAAGTAAAGTCAGTTAACATCAAAGTACAAAAAAAGATACCATTTAAATTTTATCTTTTAAAATATTAAAGCAGCGCTGACAATATACATTTGGAGGCACAGGGTACTTTATCGTGTGCACACGTGGTTCCGCCATTGCCAGCGATCAGTTTAAGGGCCCTCCTGATATACGGAGAAACAGCCCGAATGGCGGTCTCCCTGCGCGCAACGGGCCACGTGATCCACGTGCTCGGAAAAAAATGGCGGGTCAAACCATGGACCTAAGAATACATGGACGGAGCGTTGTACGCGGGGTAACAAATAATAGCGGCAAAGGGGGAGCTGCCATAGGCGTAGGAGCACTATGATGACTTCGGCTAATTCCGAGCGTACTCGGAAGTGTTCGGTATACGGAGAGGTTAAATTTCACTCAGCAATTCTGAACAAATTATTTACGAAAAACTTTGAAGAAAATCTATTTTGAAACTTTTATAATGTTATTTAAATAACTTTATAAATATTTGAAATAGTAAAATAAGTAATAAGTTAGGTTAGGTTATGTAGTGTCTCTAGATTATGTAGCTTTTCAAATCTGCAAAAGTTTTGTTAAATTGTAAAATTTCTTTAAAAAAATTATTAAAAATCTCTAAATTAAATGTACATAAAACTCCAAGAAATATATAAATTTATTATTGTTATGCATAAAATATAAATACATAAAATGTAGTATTATACACATGTTTCTTATTAACTATAAAATGTAGTATTATACATAAGTTTCTTATTAACTATTTTCTTATTAACTATAAACGATACTTTTTTTGTATTTTATAGACAGAGATTTCTTATAAATGTATGTATGGTTAAATTATTATGAAATTTTTTACAAACATAATTATATGCTTTTGGTGAATAATAATGCAACGATAAAGCAAATTGTCGTAAGTTAGCTTTATATATTCTACGAACGGGCAATTTTTGTTGTTTTCTTATATCTCGTTTAATTACTTCTTGCATATCTGCATCCAAATGTTGTAATATATCACTGTCTTCTGCTGTTATAAGATTTTTCGTTCGTAATTCTTTTAAAAGACTCTTCAAAGACTTCAGTTTGTGTTGTAATTTTTTCTTATCAAAATCACTGGCAGCCAATTTTCGTTTTAAAATCTTTGTTTCATGTGTATAAAACTCTCGTATTCGAGTTTTTGTTGGCGAGTTGACTATTCTATCAGGAGAGACGCTAGTTGAACGATCCACCATTATATTAGGTGCCCGAGTCGAAGGATCTATCATTGTATTGGATATGCTCGAACAGTCCTGCACTATAGTACTAGATATCATCATTTCCGTTCTGTCTTCATTTCTTTCGTTGCTAATGTCTAGAATGATATTGTACATTATAAATTATTGTTACGTAATTTTTATTAATATAAAATAAATAGGAATATTTATATCGTAGGAAATATTTTAGAATTAAACGTAAATAAACAAGTACAGGAAATATGTGATCATGAATCCAAATTATAATAAATTTAAAATTTAAATTGTATTCAGGCTCATATAAATAAAATTCGAAATAAAAGAAGAGGAGCTAAAGAGCCGAACCAGACGTAAGCGCTCAAATATTCAACATATATTCTTAAGAATCACAACATATAATCAGTACAATAACGTAAATAAAAAAAACTTTCAATACAAATCAAACAGGAAATCTTCCGCTACAACTGAAATCGAGTTTTTGCCTTCTCATATAGTTGGTTCTTCTTTCGCTACAGCTGAAATCGAGTCTTCGCCTTCTCATATAGCTGGTTAGTATTGTAAATAAATTATTATAAAATTTGAAATAGAGAA